GAGGCATCCTGAACTGGATGAGGGCATTTCAAGGAGAGGGAACAGCAGCATCATGCCGCCCAGAGGCTGAGTGAGATGGGAACTGAGGACCCACCTTCACGTAGCAACAAGGGATCAGTGGACACTTCAGCAACAGATGTCTTGGTGAGGTGGTGTGGACGAGCTCAGGACAGGGAGACACAGACAACCTTTCCAGGAGTTTGGTAGAAAGATGAACTTAGAGGCCTGAGGATATAGCTCAGTTGGTAGAGTGCTTGCCTTGCCTGCACAAGACCCTGGGTTCAATCCCCAGCACCACAAAAAAAAGAAAAGAAATATAGGGGCTGGGATTGGCTCAGTGGCAGAGCGCTTGCCAAGCATGTGTGAGGCACTGAGTTCAATTCTCAGCACCACATATAAATAAATAAAGGTCCATTGACAACTAAAAAAAAATATTTTTTTAAAAAAGATGGGGCTGGGGATGTGGCTCAAGCAGTAGCGTGCTCACCTGGCATGTGCGGGGCACTGGGTTCGATCCTCAGCACCACATAAAAAATAAAGATGTTGTGTCCACCGAAAACTAAAAAATAAATATTAAAAAAAATTATCTCTCTCACTAAAAAAAAAAAAAGAAAAGAAAGATGAACTTAGAAGAAGATATGGAGTCAAGAAATGATGATTTGGGGCTGGGGATGTGGCTCAAGCAGTAGCGCGCTCGCCTGGCGTGTGTGCGGCCCGGGTTCAATCCTCAGCACCACATACAAACAAAGATATTGTGTCCGCCGAAAACTAAAAAATAAATATTAAAATTAAAAAAAAAAAAAAAGAAATGATGATTATTCAGGCTGCAAGCTAGCACTGCATGTCAGCATGCCCATGCGAATGATCCAGTCCAGACAGTGGCTGTTCCTCTCTTTGTTGACCTCTTCTCTGTCCTCACTGGGTGACTCAGTGCAGAGAGGACTGCATGGGTATAGCTGCACCCATGTGCTGAGAGTAACTCACTTCCCTCACTTAGAGTTGTATGTGACCTTCAAGATGGGCAGCCTCCGAGCATTTCCTCACCAGGACAATGGGATTTCAGTCCTCACTGCCCCAGAGGGTTGCGGGTAGTAGAGGGAATGCTCACCAAGTGCCGAGCACAGTGCTTAGCGCAGGGTAGAGACTCAAAATTACGGAAATATACAAGGGCCTCATTCTGGTTTTCTAGGTTTCCACATCAAGGCAGATGACCTTTACCATTTCAACATATGCTAACCACATACAGACAGCAGACTGTCTCTACAGAGTTCACAAAAAGTCAAAATGTTTTTGATGGCAGCTGGACCAAGATAAGTGTATATAATTAGCCTGGGGTGAGTCCTCCTGGAAGCAGAGGGTGATGGTAGGGTCCCGACTGAGATGTGACTGTGATTGCCCGGTTTGGTAAAGCAACAGGAGAAAATTTGTTTGAGATTAAGGGAGAGGGCTCAGAGAACTATTAGAGGAGAAGAAAGGCCACTCAACAAACCTGGGGAAGAATTGGACGTGACAGCCCTTGGTCTCCAGTACCCAGCACAGCTGGCAAAGCTCTCAGCAGGACACCAGAGACCTGTGTATAGTGCTGTTTGCAGAGGAGAGAAGGCACCCTTGGATGTGCATTGCAAGAGTTCCCACCCTCTGTTAGGCAGTGGGACTCAAGCGGCTGCTTACAATCCTCAGGAAGAAGGCAGTGGCTAAATGCAATAAATGGGATGATGTGGACTATTATGGGATTCCAGATCAGGGCCCGAGCAGGTCAAATGGTTGGGGGCAGCCACATTGCTGGCTGCATTGCTTTCTGTGTGGCCTGAGACAAGTCATCTCTGTCCTGAGCCTGTGGTTGCACAGGAATCTCAGACCAAGTTGGGGGTCGTAAGACCAGCACCCCTTCTGAGATTCAGAGTTTCTCACAGTGGCTGCAGAGAAGGTGCTGGATTGGATCAGGAGGAGGCAAAACGTTTAATCCTCATAAGAGTCAGTGAGCAACACTATCCAGGCCAGCTCTCGGCCAGGCGCAGTTGCCGAGGAAGTAGTGAGAAGGCACCCAAGGGGGAGGTCAGGCCCTGGGGGAGCCTCTCTGGGACAGCTTTCCTTAAGCAGAGTTCTTCTGACATTTTTTTGTGTTCCAGTAGCAATTTTCACCTAGTATTTGATCCTTGTAAACTCCCTCATCAACCAGGCAGGACAAGTGATGTTATTCCTATTTTTCAGAGAAGCTGAAGGATTTGTCTAATGTCACACAGCTTTTCAATGATGGAGATAAAACTAGAACTCTTGGCTTCCTGTAATCTAAGTGAAAGCACTTTTTAAATAGTTTTTTGGCATGTGCCACCCCAGGGCAGTTTCAGTTAGCTCTCATGGGAGGCTGGAGTGGGAAGAGTCCCTTCCTGCTCTCCTTGCATGCCTGGGAGTCACTCACTGCAGAAGCCACCAAGAGTGGCAGGTGCCCAGGCTGGAAAAGCTATGCCTTTTAGGATGTGCCACGCCAGAAGCAGGACCTGAATTCCAGAAGGCTTTGGAGCATTAATGAGGGAAGTCCACTAAAGTAGGAGAGGACATTCTGATAGAACAGACACAAAACCTTATATGAGCTGGATGCAGTGGGGTATGTGAGCCCAGTGGCTTGGGAGGCTGAGGCAGGAAGATGGCAAGTTCAAAGCCAGCCTGAGCAACTTAGCAAGGACCTAAGCAACTTAGTGAGATCCTATTCAAAATAAAATTTAAAAAGGGCTGAGGATGTGGCTCAGTAGCTAAGCAACCCTGGGCTTAATCTCTAATACCAAAAAAAAAAAAAAAAAAAGAGAGAGAGAGAGCTTCCAAGAAAGATATGTCGACCAGGAGGTTCAGGGAGGAGGAGTGTCCTGCTGCCTCTAGGACCTCGCAGTTGTGACACCTTGGCCCTCAACAGTGACTGTCTTCCCCTCTTGGCTCTTAGCTCTCTCACTTGTCAATAGAGGAGGTTGCAGCTCATGGTCTCGAGGACCCGGGTGTCACTGACACTCCATTTCTGTGTGGCCTTGAGGTTCCACAGTTTAAATACCTGACCTGGGAGGCCAGTTTAAAGAGAGAGGACCCCATCTGTGGGAATGTCATGTGCCAAGTAGCTGCCCTCCCCTTCCCATGCCTTCCCCCAAGGGTCACTTACCTTATTCAACCATCACAACTCCATGGTAGAGGTCCATTTAGAGGTAAGGAAGGGTACTAGGCTCCACAGCACAGGTCATCTGTGAGGGGCATCTTGTGACTGCCTGCCCCTCCCAATCTGAAGCTAGCACCTCTCTGTGAAAGGCAGAAGGGGAAGCAGTGCCATACACCTGCAGGGAGAAGCCCTCCCTCCTGCTTCCCTCCCTCCACCTCAGCCTCTGTAACTTGTCCCAGGTCAGCCTGCCTGGAAGGGTTAGAGGAACCAAGGCACAAGAAATGCCAGTCTCGGGGCTTTCACTGCCTCCCCAGGAGTCCTGGGTTTTGTCTCCTTCCCCATGCGGGGCTCTCGCCACACCCCCTGTTCCCCTGGATCCTACTCTCTTGTCATTGAGAAAGAGCAATTTGAACTCAGGACTGACTTTTCTGCCACCATTCTGCACCCCATTGGCGTTTGGGGATCTGAGGGCCATCCCAGGAAGCAGTTCTGTGAGTATACAGACCCCATGTGGTTCAGAACTTCCTGACAAGGGGACCTAAGAAGGACCCAGTGTGTGACACTGTGGGCAAAACCACACCCACCCCTGACCCCTCAGAGGGCCGACCACTCACCCAGCTCCCTGGAGCAGCAGGCCATACCAGGGGCCCACGCTCTGGGCGGGCACACAGGATTGCCATTGTGTGCTCAGTGCCTGGCACCCTCTCAGTTTGCATAGCCACGTGAAGAATGCGAGGGAGCAGGCTGGGGACTTGTTCCTGCAGAGGCGGCTGCAGGTCTGGGGGAGGAAGCTGGCCAGAGTCAGGGTCGCAGCAGGTCCCTGCCTCCCCCATGCAGTCCCCCAAGGGCTGGTGGGCTACAGGTTACAGGGGGCAGCCGAGGGGCGGTGGGAGCAGGAGCAGGGGTGTGACATTCCTGTTGCACCCACACCAAGCCCGTGGGGCTGAAATGAACGTGAGGGGATTGTTAATGAGGTGGAGGAGAGTTAAACATTCCCCTGCTCCTGAGGGCTGAGCTCGAATTGGAGAGAGAAGGGGGAGCAGGGGTCCAGGAGGGGGCAGCCTGAACCCCAGGAATGTGCAGAAGCCACTGTTCCCATCAGGCTGTTCTGGAGCTGGGGCCCAGGGACTGCTGTCCCAGGTCCCAGCAGGAGCTGCTAAACTAGCCAGCAAGGGGATTAGCGGGTTGAGCAATCCACCTTCCTTCAGGCCCATGCCAGAAGGCTGACTGGTACTGTCTCCCCAGCTCCCCGCCAGGCCCCTTGCTGGCCTGCAGCCAGCTCTGGCCCAGCCTCAATAGGGCCCCTCTCTGACCCTTTGGATCTCAAACAAGATCTCCCTGGTTTGGCTTACCCTATTTTGGATACACATAGCTCCCAGGTACCCAGGACCCTCCTCCCCAACACCCCATTCCCAGTCTAGTTTTTAACATCTGGTCTCCGAGTTCTTGCCAGAAAGTTCTCCTTGGTGTCTAAGTTTTACCTGCTACAAGTTGGAATTCCTTTTCCTTTTCGTCCTCAAGTCAGAGGGCAGGCAACCCCCAGGGTCAGATCTGCCTTGCAAGAGCTAAGTCCATCATCTCCGGGCTGATGAGATGATTATGGGAATTTTAGGGCTCTTGAATCAGGCTCCTAAAGGGGCTTCCCTGGGCAGAAAGACCTGGGGAGAGACAGGATCACGCCTCCCAATTCCTCCCTTCTCTACCCCTGAAGGATGAGGAGGGGCAGGGTACCCACCTGGTCCCTGGCCCCGCCTCCCACCCCAGGGGGCTGGGCATGAGCTTTGCTGGGGACCCTGTGCTGGCTCAGGCTGCAGCTGTGGGCGGGCCTCTGGCCTCTGCCAGCCTGGGTGCCTCCCCCTGCATTCTGAAGTCCAGAGCCACTGCCTTTGCTGCTGCCACAGCTGCCATCACCTCTCCTCCTCAGCCTCGGGCCACTCACTGCTTTTCCACCCCAGCTGCGACTCTCTCCTGGCCATGACCACACTGCTCCTAGGACCCTGACCCAACTCTGAGCCCTGGGACCCTTGGTCCCCTCCCCTGGGCCATGGCCAATTCAGGCCTCCAGCTTCTGGGCTACTTCCTGGCCCTGGGTGGCTGGGTGGGCATCATCGCCAGCACGGTCCTGCCGCAGTGGAAGCAGTCCTCCTATGCAGGTGACGCCATCATCACTGCTGTGGGCCTCTACGAAGGACTCTGGATGTCCTGCGCCTCCCAGAGCACTGGGCAGGTGCAGTGCAAACTCTATGACTCGCTGCTTGCCCTGGACGGTAGGCCCCGGGCCTGTGGGGCTGGGAGGCGGGGTGTGGGGTTGGGGAGGTCCACAGCACGCTTTCTCACAGTCTGCTCAGTGCTGAGTGCCACACTCCAGTCCCTGCAGATCCCCCACTACAGCCCATGCACATTTAAGAATCCAGGCCAACCTTGGACCCTTGGGAGGCAGGGGCTCTAGTGTCCACCGTCTGGGGTCCAGATCCCATAACCTTGACAGCCACTGAAACTTTTGCATCTGAGGTCCTCACCGTAGAGGGGAACTCTCATACTCTATAGGATAAGGGAGGTCGAATGAGATGAGGGCTCCGTGGACAGCTGAGCAGAGGTGCCATCAACTGTACACACGGTGCCAGTCCAGGCAGGTGGTAGGCTTCCCTCAGGGACCCAGGTCTCCTGAGCTGGCCTGGGGCCCAGACTGACATGCATACCCATGGAGAGGCGGGCATATAGCTACTATGGGTGATTCACAGGCAAAGGGGAAAGTGACCAGAGTCAGAATGGCTGACAGGGGTGACGGTTGCTGCTGGGAGCCAGGCTGAGCTGAGCTGGGCCTCCGACACCCTCAGCTCTTCCTTCTCTGCTTGGGAAGATGAACCAGGCCCAAGAGAAGGCAGCAGGAAAGTGCCAGGGGAAGTGGGAAATGGGATCAATGGTGAAGGGGACCCCCAACCCCACATCCTACTGTCACATCCCCACTGTCCTCTGTCTCACCTGTGGGCAGATGATCTACCAGGCAGGTGATTTGGCCTACACTAGTTCCTGCCCAAGCCCCTCCCATGCTGGGCTCCTCCCCTGCAGGCCCCACCTCTCCCCCAACCCCTGTTCAGCTCCATCCTGGCCATGCCCCAGGTCACATCCAGTCAGCGAGAGCCCTGATGGTGGTAGCTGTACTCCTGGGTTTTGTGGCCATGGTCCTCAGCGTCATTGGCATGAAGTGTACACGGGTCGGAGACAGCAACCCCATTGCCAAAGGCCGGGTAGCCATCTCCGGGGGTGCCCTCTTCATCCTGGCAGGTGAGTGCCCTTTTTCACCTTCTTGGCCACGGCAGATAGCCCCAGCCTCAGTGGCTGACCAGGGGTCCACAGAACTGACCCACCTCCCTGCTTTGCCCTCAGGCCTCTGCACCTTGACTGCTGTCTCATGGTATGCCACCCTGGTGACCCAGGAGTTCTTCAACCCAAGCACACCTGTCAATGCCAGGTGAGTGCCAAGGCTGGGGCTCCCACTTCGCCTCCTCTGGGGCCAATGGCCTTTCCTCCAGAGGTCACCTGGAGGGGGACATAAGTAATGGGTCCTAGCTGCTGTCTGGAGTGGAAAGCCAGACCAGTGTCCTTGGTAGGGACAGGAGGCCAGCTGAGGGTGCCCAGACTCAACAAGGACTCTCCAAGCAGCTAAGTGCCCTGGCTCCGGGTTCTAATAGCTCTGAATGTTCTGGTGGGGTGACCTGCGAAAGTTACTGAATCTTTCCACACCTGCCTTCTTCTATAAACTGGAGCCAGAACCTAAGGACCAGCTTTTGCTGGTGAGGGTCCCCAAGACAATGCAGGTAAGGAATTCAACACAGTGCCTGTTCCAGAGAGTGCTCAGCATATTCAGGACAACTGGTGATAGCAGGCTGAGGTGGCTTCCTGCAGGGGCAGCAGGTATTGGGATCCAGGGAAATGAGACTGGAGAAAAGGACAGATGGGGTAGGGCCTGCCTGCCATCGGAAGATTGTGCTCCCCATTCTGGAGTAGAAAGCAGTGACAGTGGCTCTGCCATAGTGTGTGGAAGAGGAGAAGAGGGCAAGACATTATGGTGGCTGCTGCAAAGTCAAGCGGAGGGCTCTGGGCCAGGGAGGAAGCAGTGGAAAGCAGGCTCGGAGACATCTGGAGACTAGAATGGTGGGAACCTCCAAGGCCCGTCCTACCTTCTCCACACTTCTCAGCCCAGCTGGGAGCAAGAACAGGGTCCTAATAGGCCTGGGGGTGAGGGAGGATGAAAAAGGACGCCTGGGCTGTCATGTTTGCAAGAGCTCCTAAAGGAGGCAGAGATGTGGGGAGGATGAAAAGCAGACTTCAGGGGTGAGGCTTGTTTCCTGAGCTGCCAGTTACAGCCACAAAGACCTGCCAAGCAAGGCCTAGCTCAAGGAGCCGAACTAGAACTTGGCCCTTCATCCCTTCAACAGTCCTAAGGCTCCAGATTTGCCAGGCCTTGTGCTGAGCCCTGTCTGCCCTCTGCGTGCTCTCAGAGACTGGAGGATCTCCTGCTGAGGGGGTGGGAAGGATGGAATAAGAACAGAGGGGCATCAGAAAACCCCCTATGAGGAGGTGGCATGTGAACGAGGACTCAAGGCAGAGAAGGAGCTGGGGAGGCACCCCAGAAGGGGTGCTAAGTCCTAGACTTGTGCTAAGCCACAGAGGTGGGGAGACCCTGGGGAGGGCTGGGCTGACCAGCAGGCCTAGGTGCAGAGGGCCCAGCGAACAAGAGAGAGGAGCCTGGCCTTCTCCAGAAGGCAGTGGGGAGAGCCCTGGCTGGGAGCCCAGTAGGGAAAGAAGATGGCAGGGATCGCTCAGCTCCACCCAAACTATAGGGCCCTCCCATACCCCCTCCACTGGCCAGATGAGGAATTGAATTGCTCAGAGCGGGCTCTAGGCTAACCCTTGAGACTGGAGGCCAACCCTAGGCCTGGTTGGCTTGTGTGGTGTCATGTGTCGGGTGGGGCAAGGGAGGAAGCACAGCATTCACCCCAATTTACCTGGAGAGATGGAGGAAGCTTGGGAGCCCAACCTCCAGCTCCCCTCTCCCCACCCTCCCCCTGCCGGTTTCTGGCTGAGGAGTAGGACCCCGAGAGGATGGGGTGAGGCAGGGCTAGGGCTTGCGACCACACCTAATGCCACTCTCCATCCCACTTGCAGGTATGAATTTGGCCCGGCTCTGTTCATAGGCTGGGCCTCAGCTGGCCTGGCCATGCTGGGGGGCTCATTCCTCTGCTGCACATGCCCAGAGCCCGAGAGAGCCAACAGCAGCCCCCAGCCCTATCGCCCTGGACCCTCAACTGCTGCCCGAGAGTACGTCTGAATCCTGCCCATCCCGACCAGCCTTCCCACCTAGTGGCCCCCTCGCCCGACACTGCAGCCAGTCCCTGAAGCACCCTGGGCAGGGCCAGTAGGGCACACCAGGTCTCCCAAGCTCGGTCTGGGGCTTTGAGCACCTGATCCTCAACACATATCTAGGTCTGGGCCTCTTCTAGTCACCCAGCTTGGATGCCCAGGTGGATCGTCAGCTCAGATCCCGTTGCCCCTGCCCCGGGGAATGGGCTCAGGCAGGGCTGCTGTGAAGGCCAAGGTCCTACCCCACTGGCCAGGCCTGTGTCTAGGACTGACCTCCACAGACCCTGCCTCCCTCAGTGTTGCTCACCCCACTAACCGACTCTCTCTCTTTTGACTTTCAGACCTGTTGTTAAATTGCCCGCCTCCATCAAGGGTCCCCTGGGTGTGTAATGTCCAGGTCCCCAGCCAGGCCCTGTCCCCTGCCACACTAAGACTGTATGTTTGGTATTTTTTGGAAACAGAAATGAATATTCAGCCCCAAGCGTGATTCATTTGATCTGTCTGGGCATGGTTATGGCGGGGTCAGGCTCAGAGAGGTCAGAGCTGTCCCCCGGGGCTCCTGAGTGGATTACACGACACATGAAGGTGGAGCGGGAAAGAACCTGGGGTTCTGCCCCTGCCTAGTAACCCTCCCATCCTGGCTGTAGGCTTGGCCCAGGACACCCATGAGGGAGGTCCCACCCACCGCTAGAGGCTATCCCTGAGACCTGGCCCAGCACTGGAGCAGGCCCGGGGGGTCAGGAAGCCCCTGGAGTAGGGAGGGACCCACAAGTAACCCCAGACCCTGTGGGCTCTCTCAGGGAAGAGTCCCATGAGGTCCCCCAGCTGGATGCTGGATCAGAGCTGGGTGAGGAGACACGCAGGAGCGCCCTCAGCAGAAGGGCCCTCAGCAGAAGGGAACAGAAGGGCATTAGGACTGTCCTCAGCAAGGTCAGCTCAGCTCCCACCCACAACCTACAATGGAGACTGGCAAAGCACCATCCTGCAAGGGCTTATGGCCTGGAAGTGTGGGTATCACCCCCTTATACAGAGGGTTGTGAAGTCCCAGAGGAACAGGAGAGCCGGCCCTTAGAGTCCCAAGGTCAGCCATCATCCTTCAGCCTGATTCCCCATGCAGAGTGCACAGGTTCTACCCACATGCTCAGGTCTCTGCCACCCAGACACCTTCCGTGGACTCTAGGTCTCTCCCGTGTCCCACCTCCACCCTCTCCCACAGGCATGGCGACCTCCTGTGAAGAGGTGCCCATCACTGCTTCTTTCGTCCCTGCCTTTCACCTTCCTTCCTCAGCCAGCCCTGCCTGGTGACCTCCACCACCTATCTGTGACATCTCCCACTAAGTCACCAGATACCAAGAATGGCACAGCTTCTCCCTTGCACTGAACTCTGGGAGGTGAAGTGACCAAATCAGTCAAGATGACTGTCACACTGCAGCTGAGGACAGGGAGGGGAGGAGGAAAGTCAGTGGCAGGGAGCTGTCATAAGTTGCCCCTACCTGGTCTGGAAGCTGCTGCACATCTGTCGGGCCTCCAGCCACAAGGGTGGCCTCCTAAACCTGAACAGGCTTCCCAGGAAGAGCAGTGGAAGAGTGGGTGCCTGAAGCCATAATCCTGGGGCTCCCGATAGTGAGTGCACATTCAAGAAAGCTGGGGGTTGATTCTCAGGCTCCGCCCCCGAGACATCCCGATTTAACTGGTCTGGGTGGACCTGGACATCAGAACTGTGTAGCTACTCCACACTGAGAGCACCTCTATGAGACCTAAGTGAAGGTCATTCTGAGGGGTCTGCAGAGGGACAAGGAGCCTACAAGTAGAGGGAGGAGAGGGAGAGGAGGCCCCATCTCCCTCCGACCTTTCTGAAGACCAGGGCACAGAGGACACATCCACATCCTTCTGATCAATACATATCTGTGCTGAAACGATTTTGAGTTTGACTCCTGTTGCATACAGTCCAAAGAGCCCTGTCTAACACAGAATTGGAACCTAGGAACTAATCATCATGGGATACCAGCTGAGCAGGGCTGGGATTGTCCCCTTCCTAGTCCATGTATTTAGTAGTCCTTGCTATATGATTGTAAAGCTGACTAGGAAAACGTGTCATCTCTTGAGATTCAGAGGGCACCGGAGGCTTGGGAGAATGTCGAGATAGCATGTGCTGGTTTCAGGGACAGGCTGTGAGAGAAGCACCATGCTGACAGGGGACCTGACATCAGAGTCAAAAATCTTCAGTCTGTTCTCCGATGAAAGGAGCCCTTTCTGCCGGTAGCCAGGGATTGGAGGAGCGGTACGCCAGGTACTCACCTCTCTGAATTGCACAACCGTTAATATACTGATTAAAAATGCATCAGACCCTGGCAGTGGGAAGGAGATGGTTGGGAGAACGAGAGGATTTTCTAGTCTCTCCGAAAGAACTTGGGGAGCCTCATCCCAAAGGCCTCTCTTCTGAAGCAACCCTATTCAAATGCCTACATCAAGGTCACCTGGGCTGCCAACAAGAGGTAGGGCCAATTTTCCAGGCCTCTTGGCCAGCCTGTTGTTTACTGTCCTGGTCTCAAGGCTTAGGGATGGGGCAGAGAACCAAAGAGGTAGGGTTCAGACTCAAAAGGCTGGATACTAAAGCTTTTGCCATCGTTTGTTAATTAATAGAGTCCCCCAAGAAAGGAATTAGAGACCATAAAACTTGATTTTAGGAGGAAACAGGTACTCAGTCCTTAAGGAAAGCCCCTGGAAAGAAGCTTAATTGGAAAACATATCTGCAAATATGACACATGAAACACTATTAGATGACTCAAAGAATTATTAGTTAATTTTGTGTGATGTATATTGCTAGTTTTGTGTGACAACACTGTGGGTTTATTTTTTATTTATGTATTTATTTTTTAGTTATAGTTGGATACAATCCCTTTGCTTTATTTATGTTTATTTATTTATTTATTTATATGTGGTGCTGAGGATCGAACCCAGTGCCCCGCACGTGCTAGGCGAGCGCTCCACCACTAAGTCACAAACCCAGCCTGGACACTATAGTTTTCATTTTTTATACTCCAGGAGGGCTGGGGTTGTGGCTCAGTGGCAGAGCACTTGCCTAGCATGTGTGAGGCACTGGGTTTGATCCTCAATACCACATAAAAATAAATACATAAAGGTATTGTGTCCAACTACAACTAAAATACATATATATATGTATATTTTATACATACATATATAAATACTCCAGGAACAAGAAGTTCATGGGCAAGGAAAGCTTTAAAATAAATTTGACAAATGTCAGTGGTATTTGGGGTTCACCCTACACTTCTATTTGTATGTTTGTTTGCTACTAAAAGAAAAAATTCATAAAAAGTTTAAAAATACCACCAAGTTTTGCTGGTTGTATCATTTAATGTACTCCTTCTTACCAAGAGAATATGGATGAGGAATACTCTTAAACTCTTGCTATTCAAAGCACAGCAGAATTGCATAACCTGGAAAATATGTTAGAAATGTAGAATCTTGCCAGGCATGGTGGCATATACCTATGATCTCAGTGGCTCAGGAGGCTGATACAGGAGGATCTCAAGTTCAAGGTCAACATCAGCAATTTAGTGAGGCCATAAACAATTTAGTGAGACTCTGTCTCAAATTGAAAAATAAATCTCAAACTGAAAGATAAAAAGAGCTGGGGATGTGGCTCAGTGGGAAAGCATACGAGTGGCATGTGGGAGACCCTGGGTTCAATCCCTAGTAACACACACACAATGCAGAATCTTAGCCCCACAACCAGCCCTAGTGAATCAGGCTCAGCATTTTACCGAGATCTCCAGGTGGTTGGTGCACACACTTGTTTAAAAAAGTGTGCAGGCTAGTGAGGCTGTGTGGCACTTTTTTTTTTTTGGGGGGGGGGGGGGGGGGGCTAGGGTTTGAACCCAAGGTCTTGTGCTTGCAAGGCAAGCATTTTACCAATTTAACCATATCCCCAGCCCTTGTGGAGCTTCTTTTTAAAATGAGAATTTCCTTTGAGCTTAGCCTGTTTTCCTCCACAGTTTGTTAGGTATGCTGAATGTGGTTCCTTATATGATTTTGTCTACAGTTGGCCACTTATGAGGAGTTACAGCTAAACCTGATCCAGGCAAAACTCAAAATAAAGGATTACACCCAATCTTTCTGCTTTCTGACGTTTTCTTCTCATAAAAATATTTGATTCAATGTATGAGAATATTGCAGACAGTTTTATTTATTTTAAACCCGCATGATGAAAACAGCTGAAAATAACTGGGTAAAGTATAAAAGTTTCTTCAAAGCATCAAAGGGGCTATGATGCTACAGAATCCCCAAGTCAAAACCCCAGGAGCTCCCCCTTCTCTCTCAGACACACAGAGAGAGAAGGTCCTTGGTTGGCATGAGCAGAGATCAGTGATATAAAAGGAAACTGAACAATTAGGAATGTACTGAAGATAATGGGAGCCAGGCTGTTCCCTGGCAAAGAATAGATTTTCTACTCCCAGGAAGGCCCAGCATGGCCTAGGTGTGCCCAGCAGCAATGATACCCTGTGGCAATGGGCACACCTAGTCCATAGTTTGATTTCTTAATATTATTCTACACTAAAAGGTAGCAGGCTCCAAGAAGAAGTGGCTGACTCCAGGGCTAGGGCAGGGAAAGTACAAAACAAGCTTTGGGCAACTTGATGTTCCAGAACGAACTGCTCAAGAAAGAAACTGTTCAGGGATTGATGGAGACACGTACAAAGGATACAGAAGCAAGACTGAAGTGCACCCACTGGCTTTGTCTGGGACAATTTGAGCATCAAAATAAATAATGATATTGCAGGGAAATGACATCAGCATGATGGCGAAGTAGAGGGGCTTTGTAGAGGGTGCTTGCCCCTCTACAAAAAGGGACTAGAGCAAAGAATAAACAACTCTATTCCAACTGGACTGGCTGAGGAAGTCCCTTGGGAAGAAGCAGGGATGTGGCAAGATCCCTGTGAAGGCAGGGAATGTCCTTCTCCATCCCTTCATGTTCAGTCTATTTTTGTCTTAACCAAGGAGATGTTTCTTATTGGCCACATACAGAAAGAAAGGTTGAGAAAGAAAGAAAAAGGAAAAGGAAAATTACAGACCAGGTCCCTGAAATACATAGATGCAAAAATTCTCAATAAAATACTAGGATATCAAATCCAACATTGCAACAGAAAGATCATACACCATAATCAAGTGGGATTTATCCCATGGACACAAAGATAGTTCAATGTACATAAATCAATAAATGTGATATATCAACAGGACAAAACCCATATGATTATCTCAATAGATGCAGAAAAAACATTCTTTAAAAGTTAATGTTTCAGGGCTGGAGTTATAGCTCACTGGTAGAGCGCTTGCCTAGCATGTGTGAGGCACTGGGTTCAATCCTCAGCACCACATAAAAATAAATAATAAAGGTATAAAAAATAAAACATTAAAAAAAAAGTCAATGTCCCTTCATGATAAAAACTCTAAATAAAT